AGTCTCCTTTCAGCAGCCAACCCACAAGCAACTCGTCTACTCAGCTCAGTCAGCTGCTCGACCTCGTTGCCTGAAGATGCTCAGTGATGAGCGAAACGCGTCGGAAGATTTATCGAACCTTTTATTTGGACAAATTTTAAGACACATTGAACCCATTACTGTACCTCTTATCAGAAAGCTTGAGAGATTAAACTCAAAAGAAGTCCTCAGTAATTACAATTTACATTTTCTTTTTTTTTAGCTTAGCAAAGAAATGATTATTAGATTGATTTTAAAACATGCGATGAGTAGAGGAACAAGGCTAGAGCTTCAACTATTGCTGACTGAGGCAACAGTGGGAAGGGGCCCCCTCCGGCCTCATAGAAGATTTATCAAGTTGGGGATTACAGTAAGTACTGCAAGTCTATTTAGCATTTGAGCATGGGCAGCAGTATGATTGGTACATTCAAAAATGAGGTGGTGAACAGTTTCTACTTCACCACAGTCCACAGGTGCAGAGTGGGTTTGGGGCTAAGCCAAAGCAAGCCAAGTGTGACCGAACACCTGCATGACCTGTACGTAGGCGAGCTATGGCTGTCTCAATTATCCGATTTGGGTGGGAGGCCAAGGCCCACAGCCAAGAGCCTAGTTTGTCTTTAATCTGAGCAAGGAAGAGCCCCTTTCCTGAACTTCTCATTTCCTGTTGCCAAGATGTGCACCAACTAACAGAAATAGCATCATCTATTGCCCTTACCAGCTCTTCCTGGCTAGGGGCAGACCCGGGCAGTCACTGTGCGGTAGCGGAGGGAATGAGCTTCTCTGGCAGCAAGATCTGCTGCTTCATTTACAGGTATTCCACAGTGACTGGGGATAAATTGGAGCTTGATTAAATGAGAAGAATTCAAAAAGAACAGTTTTTCTTTAATTTCAAACACAAGAGGCAAATAATGCTCAGGTCTTCTATCTTTAATAAGAAATAGAGAGCTTTGTGAGTCAGTATATATAACTAAATTTTCACTTAACAGAATTTTCACTTAGGGGCCCATGTGAGAGCCTGATGTATATTAAATAGTTATGATTCCAGAACCTGTACCTCTGAGCGGAGCTTCCAGGCTCCAGCTGAGGCACACTCCCCTGGATGCTGAGGCACACTCCCCTAACCACAGCTGCTGATTTTTTTTATAATTGATTTGTAGGCTTCGGGTATGCCGGTAGCACACCTCCCAGCCTGAGCACAAATGGGGTTTTGGACACTTCACTTCACTTCTAGATCTCTGTACTTTCTAGCACCTCCACCAGCCAGTGCGGCAGTAAATTGTGAAAAGAAAAGGTACAATTAGGCTTGATAGAATACTTACAGCCTGGTCACCATATTGCAGTTAAGCAAATATTGAACCAAGATGTCGGATGGCAGCAGTGCGTCTCCTCATTGGGGCATCCCCACCGCCGAGAGCTGAGGAGAGATCCCAGGGCAGAGAAAGGCCCTCCAGTCTAGTACGGAAATCTCTTCGCTGGTTGATGAATTGTGTGCAGTGCAGGATGAGGTGCCTGATTGTGCCCTCAACATTGCATACTGGGCAGTTACTTGAGTCAGCTAAATTGAATCTGGCCAGATGAGCATTGACACCAGCATGCCCAAGGCGTAGACGTGACACAGCGCATTCAACTGAGCGTGGCAGCGATTCATAGTCCCCATAAGATATCTCAGGTCCCAAACTTCTTCGGAAGGTCCCTTTTCCTGTTTCTTGTACGTCATCTGACCATTTGCGAGCCCATTCTTGATTGGTGAGTGACTTCACAGTGAAGATCCATTCCTCAAAGCACAGTTGAGAGCTTGCTGTGCGGTCATTAGAGTGCGCAAGGTTTGCTGCCCTGTCTGCCACTTCATTTCCACGGATACCACTGTGCTCCCTGATCCAGCAAATAACCACTCTGTCAAGTCCCTTGACCAGCATCAACTCGTGTATCTTGAAGACAACTGTGCGGTGAGACAGCCCTGACGAACAAGACAAAAGCTGCAAAGCAGACCTTGAATCAGACAGAATCAAAACCGGCTCCTCCTTCATAGATACGTCTTCAGTGGCAAGCTGCATGGCCTTGTGTATGGCAAACAACTCAGCACCAAGCACAGTGTGCTCTCGTCGAAGCAGCCACCCTGTTGCCAACTGGGTTGAAGGCACAAAAATTCCAGCAGAAACTGACCCATCACCAGTTCTTGAACCGTCCGTATAAATTTGGAGATGCTTAGGATAGTGTTGCAGCCAGAAATCATAGAAGCAATTCTGAGTTAATTCATGTGGCATATTAATTAAGGAACTGTTTTGTGAGTTGATCAGTATACTTGAAGTAATGTCCACTTGAGGAGGAATTGGGTTTATCAAAGGAGTTGTAGCACGCCGAGGAAGTGTAAGGCCCAGGTTTTGGAAGTTTGCACGTGCTCTGGCAGTGTAAGGCGTGTTGCCATAAACTCCCCGATCTGAGAACCAAAGCATGATTGGCACATGATCATCTGCAGGCATGTACAAATATCTGATAGCCCACTTGGTGAACAAATATCTGAATCGGAGCTGAAGGGGTGCAATGAAACTTTCAACTTGCAGAGACATTATGGGTGTGGTCCGGCGTGCTCCCTGGATGTATTGGAGAGCGGAATTTTGCACGGTTTCTAGCTGGTTCAGTAAGGACTTTGGAATGTCCCATAAGATTGTGGAGCCATACTCCATCTTACTTCTTATGAAGGCTACATATATTCTGCGCAACAGTTGTCGGGATGCACCCCATTTCACTGAGCCAAGCGCCCGAAGCACCTGCAACCGCTTCAGGCAGGCAATTCGAGTTATCCAAACATGTTCCCTAGATGTGAGGTGTGGGGAATCAAAATGAAATCCTAGCACCTTCTGGCAAGCCACATACTTAATATTTCTGTTACAAACTCTAAGTGTAGTAGCAGGGACAGTCCGATGAGAGGTGAATATCTGATATGAGCACTTCACTGGGTTAAGATGAAACTGCCAGCGAGTGCACCACATGCTGATTTCATCAAGATACTGCTGCATATGACACCTAGCCTCTGCCAAGGACTGGCACTGAACAAATAGTGTTATATCATCTGCATACCCCACCTTTGTCATATGTGGAGAGTGTGGAAGGTCATACAGCATCACATTAAAGAGCGTTGGGGAGAGTACAGCTCCTTGAGGAACCTCAGCTCTAATGGGTTGAGACGAGGATTTAGTAACACCAACCCGAACACAAACAGTCCTATTCTGAAGATAATTGTACAACCAGGCCAGCATCTGGTTGTCCACTCCAATGCGGTGCAATTTATACAGCAGTCCATCATGCCAGACGCTGTCAAAAGCTCCCTCAATGTCCAAGTATACCACTAAGCAATATTCACGACCAGTTCGAGCAGAGGTTATGGCATTCTATAGCAGGTGCAAAGCATCAATTGTACTTTTGCCCTTACGGAAACCAAGGTGCAGAGATGGAATGACCTTTTTACTCTCTAGAGTATATTCCAGCCGGCGTAAAACCATGCGTTCCAGGAGTTTGCCCATGCAGGGTAGGAGTGTGATAGGGCGGTATCCTGCCACCTGTTCTGGAGGCTTCCCTGGTTTTGGTATAGGGATAATAATTCCTTGCTTCCATGAATCCGGAACAAGCCCAGAAATCCAGCTGGTGTTTAGAAGTGCAAATAGCTCTTGCTTGCACCGCAATGGAGCCTTTGAGAGAAAAACATTCATAATTGAGTCATGACCAGGAGCTGTATTTTTGAGAGCTTTGAGTGCCTGAGAAAACTCCCCTATTGTAAATGGAACACAGCTGTACTGTTTGAGGTTGGCTATGACTTTCACGACTTCTGAAACGGCATACACACTAGGAATTTAAAAGCAAAGAAAACAGCCAGAATATTAACCAATTCTTAAGAATGAAAACGTTTCGGAGTCCAGCTCCATCGTCAGTTCAAAACCTATGAGAAAATAAGAATCAATTAGAAAACTAAATTCACATCGAAGATAAAAACATAAATTGACAAAATAAAAACAAATACACATAAGGAGACAGGCCTATCTATTTACAATTTCAAGGGGATAGGAGCTGAAGGCTGCATTTAAACCAGGTTTCTGTTTAAAAATGTACAGGGATTCTAAAATCCGTAGGTCAGTAACACCGGTCGTGTAAGCTNCGGTGGCTTTCATGATGAAAGGGCACTCTGGAGCATTTGCATGATGTGGGCCCTTGCAGTTCGCACAGCACTTAGCAGCTGATGTACACATAGAATGTTCATGGGGTCCCGCACATAAAAGACATCTTCTGGGAGAGTCACAGCCCTCGGCAAAATGGTTCAATCTTTGACACTTATAGCATCGCTTCACAGGAGCTACAAAAGGCCTTACTGAGTATGATACATACCCAATTTTTACCCTGTTTGGCAAAGTTCGTCCCTCAAATGTTATCTTCAGGGTGGCCGATGGCTCACGGATTCCATTCCGGGATCTGGATAAGCGAGTAATATCTTCAATAGCAATATCTCCTGCATTTGCAACTCCTAGTATGTCCTTTACCTCAACACTTGGATCAATTGGGCCCAGGACCCCATGTACTCGTATATCAGAGCCAGGCTGATAACATTGAACTGCCCATTTGCCATTTGTTGTGACCGAGAGATACTTGGACATATTACCACAGAATGAAGGAGACTCCAAGGCAATTAGCTGACGTCGTGGGTTAGTGCGAACAATCAGGTCCCCAATTGCACCAAAAGGTGAGCTCTTAATACCCTTAGCAAGACCAACTGGGTCCTTTAGAAAACTTAAGGCATTGGGTTTTGAGCCTTACTAGAATGGTCTGGCCAGAACCAGCACTCAGTAAGGTAGCACTTGATGGTAGCTTCACTTTCAAAGCTCCATTTGCCTTGATAGGATTAGTCTGATTAGGCACTGTTGGAAGGATTTGACTATCCTCACGGGTATCGGCCACAGCTGCACGCTTGGCTCTATTGCTAGAGATACTCTCACTTGACCCATCAGTTTCACGGTCCCTGCGCTTGCGTCTACCCGCAACAGCAACAGCAACAGGAGTGGCCTCAACGATGCTATCTGGATCAGAGTCCTCAATAACAAAACCACCATCAATAGCACAATCCTCCTCCATCATTGCAGCACACTCGGCTAAGTGAGCTAACTCACTCACCTCCACAGTAGCAGTACTAGAGGCTGCTGAGCCAGAGCCTGCTGCTGGTGCTGGGGGACCAAACCCAGACCCAGCAAGACAGCCTTTATCTCCCATGCAAGACTGGATCAAGACGGAGTACGATTTCTTGTGATGACGAATATACCTTACACAGAGATAGAGTGGACAAACAAACAAAGAAAAAAAAACAATGCGGACTGGCAAACCTCTGAGGGAGAAAGCCAGTCGGGTTAAAGCAGAAACAAATCAAATAATAAAGGTTATGAATACTTATAAGAATCTGAATTAAAAATTTACCGGTTACTTTACTTTAGGGATCGCAATTCTCACACGTGCTTTCACGACGAACGCAACTGACTTTCTCCGTCGCTTTCAATGTTAAATTTTGCCATGTGAAATTTACGAAAACGCTTTGCGCTCAAATTTTTAGAGCGCACAAATAAATATCGGGCCACCTAAACATCTAACACCAACAGGACTCGAAAAAACTTCAAAATTACAATGAAATGAAAGCTTACATCCTCCCATCAAATTATAAATTTAACGTGAATAATTTACAACTGCAATACGTATAATTTCATTGACTGATTCTTATTTGGAACCAAACGCCGTGCAAATCTTGGTATCCGTAATTAATTACTCAGTGGCTTTATCTCATTCCTCGTCGGTTGATTGATATTGAGCTTACGTATACCCAACTATGTACATGTATATGTCTTGATTTAGCAAATACAAGTGTCATCGGGGTATCGGGCAAATCCAGAGGGTCCAAACGCTGTTTCAGTCTCAGTACTACGAGAATGGTGCCAGCACCGGTACTCAACTTTATGTTGCGCTCCATTTCATCAGTTCCCTTGATGAGTTCCTTGACTCTTCCCAATGGCCAGTGATATCTCCCATGCAGAAGTCGTTGACAAGATCTTCTTTGTCAACAATGGAGTAGGAAGCCAGTTTAGACTCGATAATTTTCTTGAACAGAAGATAAATGTCATGAGCTACCTCAGCATGGGATGTCCAATTATTAATCCTTTCAGGAAAATTCCAGATCAATTGGCAGAAGAGTACCAGATAAATGGGATAGACAAAAAGTTTTCGAATGGTCCGTTCAAGAGAACTGAAGGTATTTACGACTTCATGAGCATGCTGAGTGACATGCTCTTCATACTCTTCCAAAAAATCACTTTTGGTTATCTATGTCAGAAATTTAAAAAATCTCATGGTCTTGAAACTCCACGAGTTTTTGTTAAATTGTTCTTTATCTCATCAAAATGACTTAGCCTGGTATAGTTACGATCACCCGGCATTCATGGTTATCAGTTTAATCCATCAAATGATTTACAACTTTATATGAGTCTTTATTACATTCAGTCTAGCCATCAACAAGAATTATAGGATTTGAATGGGTGATTGCCTATACAACATGCCTATATTGATTGCCCATATTCCTGATTGCCTATATTCTGGGCCGAGTTTCAGACAAACATTCTTAAAATTTTGCTGAAATACTACGTTGAATTGTTCAATGCTCCTATTCCCACACTCATATATAAGTATCAAATTTACATTCTTAAAATTAATAATTTCTATACTTGCATCCTATATGCCATGGGATCGGAATATTGAGCTAAGTGCTGATGAAGGGCTAAGTGCTGATTAAAATATCATCCGGCGCTAGGTAGATCTCAGCAGCATAACATCATAAAAGAAAATTACCTCAGCCAATAAACACGGAGCAGTGGTATGTGTATTTTGAAAATAATTTGGAATTGTTCGAGTTGATTAGCAACCTTAAGTGAAAAAATTAGAACATGAATTGAACTGAAAATTATGCTTGTCTTGCTACGCATCCAGCAGAATCCAGTTTCCACTCTACAACCTATCATTGAACATCGTTCAACTGATTGTATTTCATTCGAACTCAGTAACTCATATCTACAAAATTCCATCCTATTTACCCTTCTAACGAATGTTGCGGGCAGTGTGTTGTGCATTTTAATTAGAAACAATCCAAAAGATCAAATAGAGCTTTCAACTTGTTAAAAGCAAACTGCCTAAAACGGAGTTTGCTCTAATTTTGGTGCAAGTAGGCACTGACTGCATATTCTATTGCTCACCTTACTTGCCATTCATAAAGGAGACTAATTTAATCAGGTATATAAATAAAGATTTAGTGTTTGTGTTTGCCATAATTAAGATCGGTTCATTTCACATATTGTGGCTCAGAAAACTTGTAAATCGCATCAGGGTCAAACCTCGTAACGGGTGTGCATCGTGGCCTGGGACTGAAACATTTCAGAGGACAAGAAATGAGCAAAATAATATTCGCTCAAAAATTACTTTTCAAATGCAACATTTCTATAAAGACTAGTATCTCCGATGTTACACATGTACAATGAATTTCTTATTTTATTTAAAAATATTGAAAAAAAATTCCAAATTTTTTCAATATATAATTAATTTTTTTCAATTTTTTAAATTATTTATTATTTCAATTGATTCATGCATTGTCTCCAACTTTACGCCAATGTACAAAATTTCGATTGGACAGATGTAAGTGTGTTGAATATAGATTATAAGATTTGTAGCAGACAAACAAACAAACAACAAGAAGTGAAGTAAAAGAGAAGTGTTGCAATAAAAAATAGAAGCTTCTTCGGCAGCAAGGAGCACACAGATTCAGTAGCCCTCACTCACCTCAATAATCATCAGGTTTGTGTTAATCCATAACTGGATACAAAAATTTGTCGTGAACACTGCACAAGGCTTTGGATATAGACCTTTTCTGCTTTAGTGCGTTAGAAGTTGGGCACGAAGACGAGATAATGGATTATATTTTATCGACTTATACGTTATTGCAACCTTGTGCAGGGAACGAAATCAGGCTCAATTGCTCCTGAAAATTACGCTGTAACAAAATCCTCCAGCTAAAGAGATGGTCTGTAACGAATGTGTTGTCTTCTTGCGTACTACAATAATTCTGTACGAGATCGACTTGAAAGCCATGAAATTTCAGGATATCTGGCATCATAGGTGCTTATTAGAAGGAAATACAAGGAGCCCTGACAAACTTACGACTGCCGCAGTTGGACACTCAGCATGACACTGTCCTCTGATAGCTCTTTCTCGTGATAAAAATGTGATAGGAAAACCCGTGATGGAAGCAGGCTGCACAGAAACTAGTAATAACTGATAAGCGGTATTTTGCATGTTTCTAATAGATCAAATTGTGAATTTAGATGAAAAAAATCCGTACAAAATATTTAAAAAAGGTTTACTCTTTTCTCGGACTAACTGATTCGCGCGTCAAATCACGACTTAATTGAAAGTTTTGGAACAGTCTTAGAGCTGATGCACTTGCTGGCAGCTCTATTTAAGTCGTTTGGACATAATGGTAGAATGGTTACAATAGTATTTCGAAGCTAGAATTCTGGTAGCATGAAGTGCGACTTAATTCAATACAATCGTAATTTTACGGAAAACGTCTCTCGCGATGAAGTACATCTCTAATGCACATAATTATATTCAGCAAGAATAATTTGTTTATTTCCGAGCACGAATGGTAATATTATTTCACTGAAATAATATTTCGGTAAAAACTGTTCACAAAAAGAGCACAGTGCTGATAGGTAGGAATAAAGTAGTGAACATCGCAGGCAGATTGAATATTTAATTTTAATATATTGGAGGCTTAGAAGAAACAGTTGACCATCTGCCACTATTGGTCCTTTCTTAACAGCCCTGAAAGTCATCTACCAATGTCTTCGTACTTTCAAAACAACAGCACAAAAACTGTCTTTACGAAACAACGTAAAGAACAACATACATATACCTCGTTCTTCCATACAATCACGGCGACCTTACCCGATGCAATCCTGTAGACGTACCCGATGCAACCCTGTAGACGTACCCGATGCAACCCTGTAGACGTACCCGATGCAACCCTGTAGACGTACCCGATGCAACCCTGTATACGTACCCGATGCAACCCTGCATACGTACCCGATGCAACCCTGTATACGTACCCGATGCAACCCGATGCAACCCCAACTCAAAACCATTAGAGAACTACAACGCAAAATAAAAACATTTTAGGATTATATGAGCACCTGGCCCCACTTCTGTGCAGAATTTCTATCGATTTGAATTTAATCGTAAATCTGAAACTTATTTTACTTGCTAATATGTGAAACGGCAAAGTTTTAGAATAAGAAAGCTCAGATCAAAATTATGCGCAAAATAATTACGAGTATCAAATCTCGAACGCAATAAGTTATCGGTTTTCAAATGAACGCAATATCGACACAATAGACAGTCTGTACAATTTAAATTGAATATCAATTAAGGTGACAGCGCTCTAGATAGGCGATTAGATCACACCTTGCGACAAAGCTGTCAAGTAACTAAATTTAATTAGAGAAATGACTGCAATACGGTAAATTACCTCGAGTAATTAAATAAATTAGAAATAATAATAGTAGTAAAGTCATTAACCAAATTCCTAACGTTCGATCTCCTCGCCGATTCATATATGACTGCCAAGAAAACTATTTACGTGATGGTGAAAAGGCTTTACGTTATGGGATTCCAATGAGTATGAAAAACTTCTAAATTTTTAAATCTTTTATCTACCAGCACATATCGGGAAATACTATTTTTTAAAAACGAAAAAACACTGTAACATGTGATAGTGTTAACAACAACTCACTGTGAATGGTTGAATTTTGCGTGTCATGCAAGTTCTATAGCAGATCCCGCTCGAGGCAGTAAGTTGCTTCACATCAAAAGTTGGCGTAGTTTCAAACTATACATACAATGTAGGCGAGTTTTGGTATATGTCTAAGTTCTAATAGAGTTGAGACCAGAAAATACTCTATAAATATGCTCTACAATTACCAGTCCACGATAGCGAGGCGTCATATAAATCATGAATAATGGCATACGGTGAAGGCCGGATATATATATTTTTGTCTATAATTCTATGCAAATTATCCGCAAACGGTCGCTAACGCCAACAAAACTAGCGAAAGACATAAGCACAACGGTTGTTGGTGCTTCTAGCGCTTCTTCTTAATTGTTATGAGTGGAATCCAAGCCTA